CAATGTTTGTATAGACATGGGTGATTCCCTACCATCACAGTTAGACTTAACAGAGCATCCAGCACAACATGGGAGAAGAAGCAGGAAGGAGGTCAAAGAACTGCTTATGACGAGAAACTGCACCATGAAGAAGGATAAATCACATCATGCAGAAGAGATAGGAAAAGCAATTCTCGACAAATTTTGGGAAGAGAAAGAAGGGCAGTAATCTGTCAGCCTTAACTTTTATGTTTTTGCTGGATCTTTAAAAAGAGCTAAAAAGTAACAGCCTATAACTATTCAAATGTTCTACCTGAAAATTAAGTGTCTTTGATTTACTTCTAAATTTTTGCTATTTGCCAAGTGGGGACTTTCTATTGGCAAGGGAGTTTACTTGATATAGTTATGAAATGAAGCAAGCATTCTTTAATGAGGGGGTGGGACTCCCACTAAAAAGTATCCAATACATCATGATTGTGAATATGCTGTTACACTTGTCGACCTTGTTGGACCACTGAATTAAGCCATTTGAGTATTGGGAATTTTCAAGAAGTACCATAATACTCTTTTTTCCCTCCATAACTTTGCATAAGCAATGTTTTTAATATAAATTACAGTATCTGGCAAGAGTTTCAAGTCCCACAAGAAATTGAAAACAATGCTCATGCAAAAGTGTGGAAGGGCAAAAAAAATATTATGGTATTTTTAAAAGTTGAGTTTTCAATTTAGGGTGAAATAATCTGCAAACATTTTAAGCATATTACCCTTAAGTATAATATTAACAACCACTATGAGGAATTGTTCCACAGGGCTTCTGAGTTAGGGAGAGTATATCTTCTTGAATAAATGTTGTGTGGTTTCACAAGCCTGAAGAAAACAAAGGAAACTCCAGTTTAACCTGAGAACAGATTTTACCTACAACATGTCTACCATTTGACAAGGCCTTACGAAACAAACATGGGTAACTATGTATATGTGCACGATCCTTCGCAGTAAAACACTATTTAAGCAATAGTGAAAATAGTTTTTTTTTTTTTTCAGGTCTGATTTCACTATTGCTTAAATAGTGTTTTAC